GGGGAGCGTGGCGGTGTGCGCAGGGGCTCCTCTGGAATGGCCTGTGGCTCGCGGATGTGTTCGGCTCCTGTCAGCATGGTCTGGGCCCAGACAGGCTCTGCCCAGCTCACACAGCTCTCCCACACGTGCAGTCCTCCATCCAAGGCTATCTTTGAGACAAACACTCCATGGCTCAGTCCTTCACAGAGGGAGCGTAAATAAAACCTGTCAGGATTAAATCTCTTGGGAGCCATCATGCTGTGCATGACCACAGCAGCTGTCTGAGGCAGTCTGTCATGCTTTGCTGCCAAAGAGTTGCCCACTCACATGTGCAGCGCAGCTAAAACTTTGGTAGTTGAAGAAAAGTCACCTGTTCCTTATCCCCACAAATGCTCTGAACTCCCTGCCTTTGTTTCAAGCAGGGCAGTGTCTCAGCTGCAGACGACACACCGAGCAGTGACCAGCCACACCAGAAGAAGAGTGACCTGAAGGATGAACCCCGGTCAACCTCACCAGATCCCAAAGGGAAGAAGAGCAAAAAGAAAAAGCCAAAGGAAAAGGTATCGATAGATTGAGGACAGCAGAGAGAGAGGCATGGGAGCAGTAGTACAGCTGCCCCTTTGGCATGTCAGTGAGCCAGGGCAGCAGCCCCACCATGCTCATGGGACAGAGGTAGTCTTCAAACAAACACCATTTCTGGTGGGAAAACTCTGCTCTTGAACGTCACTCAAATCAGATTTGTGTGGAAATCTGGCTATTATGCCAACACGCACCAAGGTTGTGGCTGGCCACCGCAGCGGGACTGGTGTTTTCATCAGGTTTTTGCTGTAATCATCACCATGGGTTTGCCTTGTTCCCAGCAGGAAGTTTACCGGGGGGGCTGATAAATAGGGAACACGTGTGTATTTTATGCAGGTTTCAGCACTCTCGGACCCCCTCTCCCCAGCTGATGAGCAGACGCTCCCTCGGGCCCAGCAGAGCGTGGCTAAGCGCAGAAGTAGGCACCACTGCCCCTCGCCGCCGCCCCCGCACGAGGTCCGGGCCTACCAGCTGTACACGCTGTACCGCGGGCGGGACGGGAAGGTGATGCAGGTGAGCTGGCCGCCGCCCCCGGGGGGGATGCCGGTCTCCCTTACCTAGTTTTATCTACAGAGTGTTTCCTTTTTGGAGATAAGGTTTGAACAGCGATTGGAAATAACGCTGGCACTTTTTATGATACTTTTTAAAATACTGAGCTTTCTGACAGGTAATGCAAAGAGCTTTTCCAAGGAAAATTAATGTGAGCAGTATGTGAGTGCTGAAGCTTACTACCTAAACCAAGAGCTTGAGTACACTCAAAACATTTTGTTTCAGCTCTGTTTATTGCAATGTCTTTAGGGATTCTAGGATTACTGGAGACAGGCACTGTACAGAAATTGGTTCACAAACAAACGCGGAGTTACCAGCACATGTGCATTTGCTGCAGTTTAGAGACTGATATTTTAGTAATTTTATTACACAAATATTTATCAGTACACGTGTAAAAAAAAGTATTAAAACAGTCAGCAAATTACCTTGTAACTGTCTATATTGTTTGTTTCTTCATATTGCCCTTCTGTACTTCTGAGAGGTCAGTCCTTTCACTTCCTTAGCTTCTCATGTCCATCTACGAGCCCTCCTCAGTCCCTTGCTGTAGTTAAGAAATTAATCAGATTCTGAAAGATCACTCAAGTCAGACTTCAAAGGTTTTACTGGCCATACTTTCCAACCTCTAGCTGTGTAATGCTTGGGAAATTTCCAGACAGGGGCACTATGGGATTATTCTAATAGCACACATCAGGAAGGATGGATGACCTTTCATATGTTGAAAGGAGTTTCTCCCTGCCCCTAGGATCTGATTGTAGAAGGATGGGCCAGTAGGAAGGACTTGGGGAGCAAGAAAGGTGCAGAGAGCAGATAGGACTTGTATAGAAATCTAAGCCATTCATAGAGATTAATTTAATAGAGCTAGACTCCCTTATAGTATTTCCTGAAATACATGACACTCCTCTCTCCTCTTCTTTTTTGCTCGTCTGTCCTCTTTGATGCCCTCAGGCCCTGAGCAGCAAGCAGAATTTCTTAAGTACATGTATTTCTGAAATTTTCTTCTCATCCACCTTCCCCTGCCAAAGGAATGACTGCCTGTTTGTGAAACAGTACTGCAGGGCCAGAGGAGAGATGGAGGCTCCCTGGCAGACAGATTCAGAGCAGCCACTTTGGGCTCTTGACTCACCCTATTGAAGGAGCCAATTTCTGCCTGCAGACTGCAGAGGAAGCTGATGAGGAGTAGTTGTCCTTGCTTAAGGGAGCCTTTTGCCACCATCTCCCTGAGAGATTTTTACATGTGGTCAATGCAGCTCCCCTTGCAGAGGACCCTTGTGATGGTGTCACGGGGTGTGCAAAGCAAATAGGAGTCAGCTGAATGCCAGAAGGGTGAAGGCAGACAGGAGCAGTGAGACCTTCCCATATACAGTACACAAAAAAACCCAAAAGAGGACATTATTTATATTGGTCAAAAACCAAATGCACACAAAACCACACACATCCACAAAACTGGATTCTTCTGTACACTCAGAACTGCATCATCGAGACATGGGGTATGGGCCTGTCATGTGGAATCCCCTCATACAGCGCAGTGCCACGGCGTAGATGATCTGAGCTCATTGCTGCTTGTGGCCCCAGCAAAACCAACGCTGCTGTCTGTTAGGATATGTCCATATAAATCAGACCAGTCCTTTTCTAGTCTGTCCTTTTCCAACTAATAGCCTGTTTGCTGAGCTACTGTAAGATACCATCAGGAGGGTGAGATGAAGTACATGGTACAGAAGAGCCCAAGACTGGCTCAGGGAGGCTGTGATAATGTTCCAGATGGGCTAACAGGACAGCACAACGCAGCGACTGAATGTATTACTCCTTTCAGGCACCAATAAATGGATGTCGTTGTGAGCCCCTGATAAATAAACTGGAAAATCAGCTGGAGGCAACGGTGGAAGAGATAAAAGCTGAGTTTGGGACAGTACAAGATAAGATGAATGTTAAGCTGGGCCAGATGGAAAGCAAAACTCAACATCAAGTAAGAATGTGACCCAGAGGTCTGCTTACCCACATGACTATTAGAAACATATCCTAAGCTTAATGAGTGTTTTCATTATCATGATTCATTTATTGCTTCTTGTGTTGTAAAAATGAACCTGAAATCTAATACTCAAGACCAGGGAACTGTGACGTTCCACAGGGATCTAATGTTGCTAACCAGAGTCTTGAGAAAAACACGTTTAATGTGTTAAGGGGCTTCTGGTGCTGCTTTAGACAATAAATGTATACTGCTTGAGGTCCTGAGAGGGAAGCTTAACTTGAGACAGAAGGCAGTCCTACAGCTCATCAGCTCATAATTGTAAAAAGCCCTCCGCTGAATTCTGTTTGCACTGAGACTGAAGATCCTCTAAATTATTTTTTATTTTTAATGAATTGTTATTCGTTGATAATTTTGTGATTGAACCTTTTTGCAAGCTACATCTAATTGTCATTGGCAACATTCCTAGAAACGAAGACTGAAAGACAGACTGTGCTTTGACTTAGAAAGTTCACAGGTGAGGGTTTTGTTTGGTTCTTAACATGACCATCTCATCTGCGTCGTGCCTTCTGTCCCCAGCTGCGTGTTCTAGACAAGCTGATGGGGGAGCGGCTGTCTGCAGAGAGGACGGAGTGCCTGCACCGCCTGCAGCAGCACGCCGAGCTGGAGAGGAACCGGGGGGAGAAGCGGCAGGTACGGCTCCAAAGGGCCACTCCCCCTTCGCTCAGATGGGGCAGCTTGTTCCGGCAGGCAGGGGGAGTTCTGGAGATTCATCTCATCTCCTGAAACAGGCAAAAGAGCTCCAAAGACCAGATTTTTCCTATCCACCACCTGAATCCCTAAACCCAATTTATAAAGCTTTACATTAGAAGCGGGGAATGTGAAAGTCAGTCCCACTGTTTTAAGTTGATTTGGTGGGTCTGAAGTGTGGTATCTGTAACAAAACATCTTTTTCCTAATATAGTGCTTTGCAAAAATTCCTACTGCTAAATCTTTTACTAGTTGTGCTTTCAGCTTTTGCTATATTAAAGGATGTCTGCAGGAACACCTGCAAATAGTAACAAAGGCTGAGATCTGTGTTGTACCTTTTACTTCTCATTCATTTGATTGTGTGCCCTGGGAATCTCTCCCTTCCTTCTTCTCTGTCTGATCTTTTTTTCTCCATGTATTAAAAAGCTGCAGCTCTGACTTTGGCAGCAGTGTGCCATCTCCAAGCTGTGTATCGCTACCAATAGTCAAGTTCTTTTTGTATGCTTGTTCAACCAGCATTACAAGAATAACTGTTCCTGTAGGGGTCCAGCTCTTGCCCTTCTACCTTCTGCAAATACTCACCATTAAAACATGCTAAGAATCTTGTGTTTATATTTGAAGTAGTTCATTTTCTTATTATTGGGATTCTCCTAAGAACTGAGAGATACACTTTGTGGTAGTGAAGTGTCATGACTTTTTGTAAGACTGTTCCAAATCCATGTTAAAAGACTGGCAGCTGTGATAACCCCAGCATAAACTACTGATCAGGGTACTGCTGCCTAACATCCACAGAACACTTTTCTCCAAAGAAAAGTACTTGCCAAACTAAGGCAGCTTTAGTTTTTATTTCATAGTAAGAGACATAAGTATTATATTGGCTTCTGAATGTCTAGGCTTATGCTCCTTATAATCTCCATTTAAGAAATGAGATACTGGAATGATGGACCTGATGAACTGAAGTTACCATTAAGCAATGTCTGCTGTTCCCATTCTGCTGGGTCTAATTGAAACCTTTGGAAAACTGAATTGAGCTTTACTAAATGCATGGACTAAACATCCATGTGCATAGGAGGGCCCGACCTAAACTTACGATATCATGTGAACAAGAACATAAAAGAACTACTCATATTTTAAATGATTACTGGCAAATGCCTCTGCGGCTGACACTTACTAAGCACCTTTGTAATTTGAAAGCTGTTAGTAAGTTATCTTTTAACGTGGGTCTCATCTTTGTCACAAAATGAACAGAGAAACAGAGGTTGTAATGGTATAAAGCTGTGTCCCAGAAGTGTCTAATTTAAATTTCGCTCTTAAAAAATGGCAGCTTTGACCACATGTGATGTTCCTTGCACTTAAAAAGCACCATTGACTGTATGATTAAACAAGTCATCCCTGATCAGAGGAGTTAAGAGTTACATTTGAAGTAGCATGTTCAAATCTGAGAGGTGGTAGCTTGGACCAAAGAGGGTGCCTTTTGTTAGCTACTTCATAATCTTTTCTGATTTGCAGTCCTTTAAACATTCCCAGTGGCAGCATGTACACCTGCAGAGGGAGTCTAAGCCCACAGGTACCCAGCTTGCTTCTCTTTGTCCTTGTCGTACATCCTCCGCAGCCTAGGAACCACAGGATCTAAGCATAGGATCATCTGATTTACAGTCTCTTTCTCATAGATTTCCTTGGTTGATGAACTGAAGACTTGGTGCATGTTGAAGATTCAGAATCTGGAGCTCAAGCTCTCTGGAGATTCCAGGTCATCGAGACCAAAATCAACTTTGTCTACTTGTGAGTCTCTTACTGAGACCCTGGATACTGAGAATAACCCCCACAGTGCCAAGGACTGTAAAGCCAGCCAGGCTGTGCTGCAGTCAGAGGGCTCCCAGCAGCATTCCTATATCACACTTCCAAATAGCCTCTCAGAAGATGGGGGAGGGAGCAGAGCCCAGATGCCAGAACAGAGCTTTGGGCAACATTTTTCCATTCAACAAGATGGTGCGTCTGGTACAACCTCGTCAGGTACGTAGATGTCGTCATCAATAAGAAGGCTCTCTTGACCTGTCAGTGTGAGTTCTAGTATTATAATGAGGCTAGTTCACTCACTCATCATTACTTAGCTGACTATTATTCTCAAATAATAAAATTACTAAATTAAACTAAAATTACTCAAAACTAAATAAGCTCTTAGGTACATACAGGTTAAATATCTTCCAGGATGTTTCTCCTTCAAGGATGACTAACTCTTGATATGGAGTTCCTTAACTGATCACTGTTGACAACCTATGGATGGTCATCGTGACCTAGATGTAGGGTACATGTTTATCCCTTCCTTTACGTGCACTAATAGGCATCAAATGACTCAGTGAACTTGGGCAATATTTCACACATCCTTTACTCCCTTTTTCTCATGTTTTCCAAGTCCCTTTTTCTCTTGTTTGCTGATAATAGACAACGAAGGCAGCCACTGGGAATACTTGCTTGAACCAAGGTCTGTTTAATTATTAGTTCATTTGACAAGAACAAAAATAGCTAAGAACATTCAAACTCTTTCAGTGGTCAAGGCCACCCAAAGAAACAGTTCAAGCCAGCTCTCTGTGCTAGGCTAGGGAAGATTTTTGAGGGGGGGAAAAAAAAAGAGATGGGCAGAATGTCTAGGTCTCCACAGCCAAAGAGAATGCTATCAAAGCCCTGGGCTTCTGTAAAATACATTGTACATGGCCCTCAAAATACTGTGCAAAGGCAACAGACATGGGCATGGACACCCCATCAGACTAGGAAGGCAGAAGACCACACAGGAGATATCATGGTACCTTGGGTGTGAGCTGTACTGCACTGAACGATTCAGAAGTATCAAAATGTGTTACCTTTGCAAAATCAGCAGGGCTTCAATTCTTGTAGAAGCCGGGGGGTGGGGAGGTCATAAATACCAGCAGGCTTTGGGAATCCAGCCTGATCTTTGTTACAAGTCCTACTGCTGAAGAGCCTTGATTGTTGTCAGTGTGTAGTCCCAGAGCTGCAACACAGTGCCTCTCTGCCTGTGCCAGCTTTTCTCTTTTAATGACTCTTTATCACATCTTCACAGGTGATATAACAGATGAATATAAACTTCTACAATATGCTGCCCAAACCTCTTCTAAATAGATCTTTTATTCTGTAGGTACAGAGCAACAGTTAATTGTTGGCAGAGCAGCTGCTGCTTCTGCCCCTGCTCAAGATGTGAGGCCAAAGGACAGAGCTGTTAGTGCCAGCACGTTCCACAGGTTCCAGCAGGAGCTGTCCTCCTCCGAGCCCTTGGGCTCCAAGTTAAGACACGTTAAGGTTCAAGCTTCTTTGCAGCCCTCGACGGAAGCCGCGAAGACTGAACCGCAGAGCAGCCACTTCATCGACAAAGGAACGCAGACGAAGAAGTCCAGCAGGAGCGGGCAGCCCAGGCACAAAGCTCCGCCCCAGGGCGGGGCTCATCAGAGCCAGGAGCAGGGACAGCCCCCTGCCCCGCCGCTGCGGGACACCTCCCAGGCCCTGGAGATCACCCAGTACTTCTTCGAGGCCGTTTCCACGCAGATGGAGAAGTGGTATGAGCGGAAGATAGAAGAAGCCCGGTACCAAGCCACTCAGAGGGCGCAGCAAGACAAAGCTGTGCTCAAGGAGCACATTAAAAGCTTAGAAGAAGAGCTCAGCAAGTTAAGGACTAAGGTGCAGAAGGAGAGCTAGCATCTACTGAGCAGGTAAAGACAAGCAACGGGACTCACTTTGGAATCTGCTGTATGGGCATCTGAAACGGTGGTAGATTATCTATATATTTGTAGTGCCTGTTACGTCTGAACAAAATGCTCTTTTTCAGGAGTAGAAATAACTTTCGAAACTCCAGAACTGAGGAGAATTCATACGCAGACTGTACTGAGGACAACGAGATGCTGCAGATTAGATCCTTTCTTTCTTATTTCCACGAGTTTGTTAAATATTGCACTCTCAATTTCCCGATGCTGCTTGAAAACAAACCGCATTAGAAACTAAAACTGCTTTCTGTAAAGGGAATTCCCTTATTTCCACATAGGTCAGGTGTGGCTAGAGGGTTCCACTGTATGCTACATGTCAGCATGTGGTGATACCAACACTGAAATGAACCCAGGATGTTTGGGAGGTTTAGACAGAAAGTCCTTAGTTGAAGGGCTACCGATACTATTTTAGATACTCCCCAAGGCCTCTGTCTAGTCAGTGGAGAGAAGCTACAACACCAACTTATATTACAGGCCCATGGAGGTGACAGATGCTTCCAGCTGGGAGAGGCCAGGCTCCCACAGAGTGAGTAGCTAAGGTGAGTCATCCTATTAGGTACAGAGGCTTCAGCTGACACTTGGCTTCTCTTTTGGTTTTACATTTTTAAAACTAATGCTAAATTAGATTTGTCTTTTTTTTTTTTTTTTTAAATGATGCCCTAGTTATGGTTACATGGTCGTCGGGGCCATAATCTGACTGAGAAGTTTTGTTTAGGGCATGGATGGAAAATATTTTACTGTAAGCATGCTCTACTTGTTGTTAGGTATAATTTTAATATAAATTTATTTTCTTTCAAGCAGCAAATGGCTGAATTCTCTACTAGTGACAAAGCTTGAAAAAGTCCTTTATCTAAAGAAGTGAAAGCTCGGTTCCTGTACTCAAGGGTTTCTTTTTCTGTGGAGTCAGGATTTTCTCCCAAGCACCTTGTCCAGACTGTCTTCCTTTGCTCCTCTGAATAATTCCTCTTTTTTCCCTTTTATCTCTAAAAAAGAGAGACCAGGCTCTGGTGAGTCTGCAGGTCTTAGGACTGGCTCACAAACAGTCCACGAAACAGAGCTCAACAGCATTTTGAAGTTTTTATGGATGTGTTTTATTATAATATTGACATTTACAATGACCAGTGTTGTCCGGGCTGACAGACGCCAAATAAACTAGTGCCACTGTTAAATCATGGCATCTGCACTGCTTTAGGGTCTCTGCCTTACACCTCTGAGAAGGTTCCATCAAATTCTGTTAGGAAAGTAAGTTTACTTTACAGCTCATGATAGAACACTTGTTCAAAAGTAATTCAAACACATAATAGTATTGTTATGCCAAGGGGAAAAATTTGTCTGTACTGATGAGCCCTGAAATCAATATAAAATATGGTATTGAAGACACCATTGACTAATTAGTACTTAAGCTTTCATCCTCTTAGCAGATGTATAAAGCAAAAAAAAAAAATGTACTATATAACAATATTTTTAAAGTTCCTGTTAATGCACTATCAAGACAAGAAAAGTATACTTGCAGTTATGGAAATTCTAGTTTTATTGCTCTGACTACTGTAGTCTAATATAGACACTTTCACATGTTTACGGTTTTGTTTAGCTACTGTAGGAATGCAGAACATGCTATTTAAGTTTTGTATCATCTTGACAAAGTGAACATTTTGCCAAGCAATTAAAGTAAGCCTTGCTCAGAAGTTCACGGTGCTCAGAAGTCTGTGGTGCAGCGTTTTATAGACACAGAAAATGGACACAATCCCCTCACGTGGCTCCGAAGGGGGGGACAGAAGATTGGACTTCAACTTCTAAACTTCTGTTTATGGCTGTAGACCACTGAACTCAGGTCTACCGGCTGTCCCAGGGGAGGCTGCAGGGACAGTCTGACACTTTTTGGCTGACAGCCCGCCCCCCACAACCTTTCAGAAGTTCCTGCAGCTGATCCCAGGCATGCTCCCAAGCGTGCAGGAGTGCGAGGGAACCGGCGAGGCTGCAGCTTGAGCTGATGTGCTTCACAAACCAACTGCACCACCAAGGTAGCCATAGGAGCAGTGCTTTAAGACAGTAACCTGGCTGCAGAATACAGATTTTAGAACATTTTTCTGAAGCCAAAAAGGTACTGTACAATAAATGGAGGCATTTTCTGCTGATTCCTTTCTGTTCTCCTTTGTAGTCCTCCCTCCTTCAAAAGTACTGAAGAACTTTACAAAATGCCTTTATTATCCGCCTTTTTCTGCAGTATGCACTTGGGAGTAAACTTACTTACCCTAGCAGACTATACAGTCTACTGAAGGTTTCTGACAAGGTTCTCAAAGGTTTTGACAAGCCCACAGAGCAGTGGAGAGTGCAGGCAGCAGCACTCTTGAGGTCAATGTCGAGACCTGTTCCTGGATTACGTGGCCACAACCTAGAAACCTACAAACTGGAGTCAAAGGAGTAATGCAGACTCAGGGCTCAAAATGGAAAGCACAGCACTAAGGTGGCAGGATGAAATATCCTAATTAAGGAGCAGAAATCAAACGACTGGGTGAAGGAAAAGGGAAGGCTACATGTGAGAACAAGCCAACACTGATTACAGCTTTGTTTAGTCAAAAATCCTTTCTAAACAGCATTTTCTGGCATTGTGAAAAAAAATCCCAAACACACTAGTGTTCTGACAGTGGGTTCTACCAGGAAATGTTTTAAAAATTTAGATTTTTATTTAGGCATACATGTTTTTAGAAGCTCAAAGGCTCCTGTCTATATAAACCTGAACTCTTTTCATAGCCTCACGGTGTGCCTGAGCCACATCCTTTACTGCAAAGCTAAATAAATTTCCTAAGTAAGGATTCTACAAAGGAATTTAAAAAAAAAAGGCATTCTTTCTTGTTAAGCAGCAGCTTTTTTCAAAGCAGCTTTGCTGATGTGGTTTTGAAGATCCTTTGGTTTCAGCATTAACCACACCTCCTGCGTGCTCCAGAGCGGGTTCTTTCTTCCCTCCCGTAGCCTGGAGGAGGAACATCACCCTGTCCCTGCCTGGTTCCAGTGGTGGCACTGGCCAGACTTTCTGTGGGGCCATCCAGCTCATGAAGCCTGCCTGGCAAGAGGAGGTGGCTCTGCAGGTGAGCTCCTGAAACCACACCTCAACTGCATGCAGCTACCCCATGGTCAAGTCTCTGTCTACTTAGGTTGAGAAAAGCCCAGACTCACCTTGGCATTTTTAAATTGCACAGGGAAAAAAAAGAGACACACTGCAGTTCACAAGAAGGTAAGAACAGTGGAAAGTTAATAGTTAAAAGTGAGTAATGTGACAGCTGGAAAAACAGACTGCAATATTTGCAGTTAGTATTTTCTATCTGCAATTCTACTTTTTATTTTCACTTTGAAGTACTACCTTGATGGTACTTCCTGTTGGCTTGGTAGTGACAATTTCTGGGGCTAAAATCTCTAATTTTCATATACAAAGACCTCCCCTTTTAAGTTTTATTCAGCTATAACTGAAAATGAAAATCTATATACATAACCACAATAAAGCATTAAGATAAATGTTATTTGTTTTGGGCCCATTTATTTATCCCAACTGTTTTTTTAATCCAAATTTTGGTGAAAGTCCTTGGTGCACTACAGAAAGAGCTGTTACCACTTAGGAGTTCCCACAATAAAGAACAGATAAAATAATGTGCCATATTTATTTTCTATTTCCCTGGCATAACACTGCTGGTGCAATTTTTGGTGCTTTCTGCTTTCCCCACAGCCCATGCAACATCATCCATTCAGTTCTTTAAGGTCCTTTGTGTCTCAGTGATTTCCACAGAGGCGGGTAACCAAACAGAGAAAAGGGGGGAAAAAAAACAAAACAAAACAAACCTGGTAGATTCCATCATCAAACTTTACCAGATTGTCAGCAAAAGCTACTATTATAACCACATTCTGGAAAAAATACTATGCTTGTTTGCTGCAGATGAAAGACCAGCTGTCAATAAAATTAAGATCAGGATTTTGCCAGCTTAAGTGTTCTTTGAAGTTCCTGAAGTTGCATGTTGCCTTGTGTAATCATCATCCTGATTGCATCCTGTAAAACAAAATGGAATCTAGTGAAATGAATGTCTGTGCACAGCACAGGTTTTACACGAGTGTGCAGATTTTGGCACATTAAAATATATACAATTCCTATATACATTTTTACCAGCACTATTATGATTTATTTCTTTGTATGAAGTAATGCTATAGTCACTGAGATGGTTAAAGAACAGGTGAATAAATGAATTCATTTCCTCCAATTGCTTAATAACATGTTTGGGGGCTGGTTATGGTTTTGTTTTAAAACTCAGTGTTGAACTAGACTCAAATACCTAATGTTACACAGCAAGTGGATGTTTCTCTCAACATTATTTTTATCTAAGTACTGTAATGCTTTGCCTGTGTAATTCAGCCACCAGTTCCTTGAGCACTGGCTAGAAAAAGGAATCTACCAGAAAAGCAGAAGACAGGAGATAGATAGATAGATAGATAGATAGATAGATAGATAGATAGATAGATGAGAAATGTAAAGGTTTCTGCAGTTTAGATGCTTCATATCCAAAACTATTCAATTGTGTTCAGCTTGAATATAGTTGAATTTAAAGATAAAAAAACAAATTAAGTTTGTGTACTATACTATTCAATACAATTTTTCTGATTTGTGGTTTGAGTAAGCAGGATTTGTTTGGTTATTAGCTTTTTAATTCCAGATTATTATCAGGGAATCAGAGAAACACGACTGCCAACAGAGGGGATAATATTTAGAGATGCTGAATTATTTCTTCACATAAGTACTTCTTAAGAGAAAACAGTAACCGCAACCTTCTCAACTTTCTGGGAGTGATACCCACAAAAGAGCTGCAGGGGGCACAGCAGAGGACAGGGCTCTGAATGCTCCCGAGGGCAGGTGGGCAGGGCTGCGGGTTCCCGATCCTCACCTCTTCCGTAGCATCCTTATTTCTCCTGAATTCCTCCCGGGCCCAGTCCTGTAGATAGCGGCGGTCTGCTTCAGCAGGGACCTCGCGAATCGCCCGCAGGATCTTCCTGTAGAGCTGCAGAACCTGCTGTCGCCGCAGGAACTGGGAAGCAGAGAGGGAAGTGTGTGTCTGCTGCCTGCCTCAGGGCAGGACGCTGCCGCGGGCCGTT